GAAGCAAAAGGCAGTTTTGATTAAAGCCCTATTCATACCCTAGCAGCGTGGTTACAAAAAAATTCAAAACACCTAAACACTGGAGCAAAATTAGTTTCTAAACCAGTTTGGGAAAAAGGTTTGTACTTATGGCATTGGTTATTCAAAAATATTCCTTATGTTTAAAAATGCCAAAAGTTGTTTTTTATTCCAGGACTGTCTGGTGGGTCTTAAAGCCTGTGCCTCAGATATCTTTAGGTCACTGTATCCAGATAAAAAGTAGCTCCCGAGGGAGCAGGGAGATTCTCTGGATCATTAATTGTTGACCGTAAATTTTGAATACTGAAGATTCCCGAGGCCTAGGAGAAAACGAAGGGAGCGAGCGATACTAAAAACAAATAAATCATGGAGTGGCTGATGGACCATCAGCCCGTCATCTTTGAGAGACAAAATAATGCTCAATGCAATCAAAGTCTGTATCAGTGTACGAAAACCGATGAAAAACATCATTTTTTTTGTTGGTGATTTGCATTGCCATGAGTTCTGGGGGGATTTCTGCTGTGCCTCTTCTCTAGGAAATCAAGTTGAACGTCTTGGAGGTTCATCTCGGGTTTTCAGCAGAACAAGGGTGAAATGCTGCTGGGAGAGAGGCTGGCTCTCCTCTTGAGTTATATTCCTAATATTCAGAGGGTCACTTCTAAAATCTTATTAGGTTCCTCTCTGAATTCGTTTATCTACTGGGATCAAACCACTGCTTTTTAATTGCTCATGTCTTTGCTTCTCAAGGATGATGGAGCTCTAAAGCTATGTCTGCCAAAGTTGTGTTGCTCAGCTGATAGAAAGAATATAAATGTGTCTTTTTGTTCTTTTTTTTTTTTTTTTGTCTTAGCTCTGCTTGTGCTGTTGTGGAGTACCTCCTTCTGCTTCAATTTGGCCTCTAAAACTTTAATGGCGAGAGAGAAAGCTTCCTGCTTTTGTCTTGTAAATACACAACACCCGAGTCCCCTGTCTACTCCCAGAGTAATAAATCTTACCTTATCCTTTTACCTAGGAACAAGTAAAGGGCTGTAAATATTTTTGTCTTCATTATGGTTGAGCAAAGGGAGCGTCGCACAAGAAGTCATCGTTAAAGGACCCCTGATGTACGGTCTTGTGTTCCAGCAGCGACTTGGCACATTTCTCCTTGCGCTTTAGTTAATGTATTTTGAAGTTCCTTCAGTAAGAAGAATGTCTTCACACCCTGATGCACGGCAGTGCTAATGTTACAATCTTCGTGTCCTTATTTCTTATATTTTCTTGGTCGCGTCGCATCCTACAGCTCTTCCGAGCCAGATTTGCCTTGCTTGGGGAGGGCAGAAAGGATGGAGCAGGGAAATGCGAGAGGGGGTTGGGAGGTGGAGGCAAAAAAAGAAAAAAAAAGCAAAATCTCCAAGTAGTGGCTGCGTTCTGGTTATACATTTTAATGCATTCTGTATATTGAGAGATCGGTATCACGTTAATGACAGATTTCTCTAACACTGCTCGCCCATAACCCTTGCTTTCTCGTCGGGATTAAGTGTTCAGCCTCTAGGCATGACGGGGAGATCGGGTCGGGGAATTTCGCCGGCCTTTCTTCGCTGACAGCGGAGAGCAAAATTGGGTTTTAGTCGGTCTAAATCTTTATCTCGTTTAATCGAATTTAGCAATGCGACTACGAACACTTAGAGCTATTCCGTCACATCAGTGTCACATTAAAGGCAGCTCACTTCTGCCATTTGCAATATCAAAACTGCTGCAATAAACATAAAAATCCGACTGGCCCAGTCCAATATTATCCAAATTCGCTCGGAAAAATTGCGTGGGTACGACACGATGGGAGATTTTTGTCAACAGAATGCTTACAAATGCCCGTCGTAGCACCAAATAGCTTCGTATAGTCAGATGCTGTACAAGAGCATGCAACATTTTTATGGAAGTACTTTTTTAATACACTGCATAGTTAAAATACTGCAATATAAATGTATTTTTCTCCTTGCGTGCTGGACAACTCTATCTGCAGAGCTGAATCCAAGTGAGTTCCTTGCAATTTCATTTTTCTTAGAAGATGGAAATGAGTTGCATGGGAGATCCGTTTACTTTAGACCAGTTTGGTGTGAGAATAAATACATCCTCAACCCTAATCACTGCCTATTGGCACAAATCTGAGGTTTTGTTGGGAGTGATCAGTGAAGGACTAATGCTGATAGTGTAACAGAAGCCATGCCTTTGACACAAAGAGGAAAAAAATTAATTCAGGACCTTTCCATGTTGCTGAATGCGCATAGGTCTGCAGTTGCATCACAAAACATCTCAATTACTTCATTAACCATCTATAAAAAGGAGATAAAACGACTTACCCTAACAAGGCTTTGTGAAGATGAGTGTTTTTTTTTCTTTCCAAATAGTGCATTAGGCTCCGCTATCAGGGTAATGGGGATAATCAAAATCACACACACATTTACAAATCCTATTCTAGTTCCAAATTTCAACTATGTCACCAATTTAACGAGCATGGAAAATGTGGATATATGGAGGCACCTCGTTACTCCTCATTGTGTGCTCAGGAAAAATGCTATATAGGAAACGAGAGGTTTATGCTTGGTTTTCGGGGAAATAAGTTCTTCCAGCTCACTGCTTCGTAATTAGTTTTAGGTAGATCTGTTCAGTTTTAAACACTAACGTGTAGAAATATGCTAAAATCAACAGGATTAAATGCTGGCGACGCGACGGGCTCTCTGCAAGCTGGGAGCAGATCCTTGTGATGCCCTGATCTGGAAATTGGGTTCTGGGGAGCAGGACCAAGATAGGAGAAAGCCTTTGGGTTTCAAAACAGCAACAACAAACCAAAACCATACAGCGAAGCAGTTTTGCAGATTGGGGTGAAGAAGATGAATCAAGTGCTTCGCTAACAGTTTTTGGAGCGTAGCGAGAGCAGCTTTGTAAGAAGACGACCAAGAGGTGTCCTGGCACATCCCTGGTGATGGGGGCATCGTGGCGTTGGGTTCAGGCCACGAACAACGCAATCGTGCATAAGAGATGAAATCGTGGCTGGAATGAAGTCAATGACTCCAGCGGAGCACTTTGTCCTTCGCTGAAGCTGGCCCGTAGCTGGCTGATTGTGTGGGCTTGATTATGGGCTCTGAGTACCTTGTCAGGGAGAATATACTAAGTGCTCTTTAATCAGCTGGAGAAGGGCATAACGAGAACTTGGATATCTTGATAATCAAGGCTGGATGCCCTCTCGAAGAACGCACTTTATTCAAATGTACTTCTGAGCTCAGGCTGGGTGTAAGTCCATGGCCTGTGCTGTAGAAGAGAAAAGATTTAATGACCATTTAATCTTAAAATCTTACTCATTTTTCCGTCCTTTCTAATAGAGAAATATCACTTGATAGACCCTTTGCAATGAGCTGGAAATAACAGGTTGTACTGGTGGAGCAGTCGTTAGTTTTATCAGACAACTCAACCAAATCCTGAAGTAGCTGTCGTGCCATTAATCCATATTTTCACAGGGTTTACCCAGTACACGTTCAGTGATATTTTTAACCCCGTTTCCAAGAGTAAGTGGACGGAGATCATACAAATGATGCTGTGCCTCGTGCCGAAGCTCACAGCCCGTGCTCCACAGACCTTTTGGCGAGGATTCTTTTAGCATTAACACCAAGCCATTGTTCAAGAGTTTGGTTCTTTGAGAAGAAATTGCGGATGTCCGCATCCACAAGGCGTGCCCAAAGGAAAGGACATCTTTGGATACTTTCCCCAAGTATCCGTGTGGCTTTTCAGCTAGCACCATAGCAACTACTAGGAGGAAAATCAACTCTATCCTAGCAAAAACCAGGACGTCAGCTGGGATCTCTTCACAGATTGAAGCTATTGAATTTTGTGTGCTAACTTCTGCACCAGTTGTAATTCGGATGGCTGGAAACTGCTCATCCATCTGGTTCCGATATGAAGTTGAGATCTGCTGTAGTAAATCCATAAGAAATTCCTTACCGTTTCTTCCTACTTCTACGGGAGAAGCCGTTAATTACTTGGAGATGATTTTGGAAGATCTGGTAGCTGTTAATTTTGGTAGGAATATTCATTTATATTGTGTAATTTTTATGTTTGTGTCAGAAACAAGGAGTAATGTTTAATGGCTGTGGGCCAGCACATTTGCTTCAACATCTGCGATAAGAAAATGAAAGTATTTTTTAGAAGAGGAACAGACTCATGTAAAAGCAAACAAACCCAGCAGATCTCCTCGGCGTATGGCTCTGCTTGCTGGTATTTCAGACACCGCGGGTGGGATTTGGGGCCGGCCAGCTCATTACCTGAGTGTGGGTGTCTTAAAAACTGTCTGGTTGGTGCTGACGGAGAGATTTGGCTCACCCTAAGACGTGCACCTTGAATTTGGCTTGGTTTTATACAAGTAAGTGTTTAAGGCCAGCTGAGCCAGCCTCAGACACGTGGCATGTCCATGTGGACACCTGCTGTAAGGCAAAGGATAACTTGGGGCACTGATCTTTCTCCTAATTCCCCTTCAGTTCAGGCTTTTCAAGTTCTTCCTTTATATTCTGTTTTCCTTCACTTGAAGCTTTCCTCCTCTCTCCTCGCCATATTTATGAACTTCCCTCTTCCAACTCCAAAACAGCGTCATTAATCCCGGACCACTTACAACCTCACATATCTCTCTCTTTTCCTGCCGCGGCTGTGCCTCTTCCCGTGGCTTTCCGAGACCTGGCTTTAATACCAGGCTATAAACAGTCCATTCTCACCTTGCTGAAAGCTGGTATTGTTCCGCCTGCAAATTGCTCCCTTGGTTCAACCCGTAAGTGGCTCTAGGATTGTGATTTGATACGCTTTTTATGTCTCTACTATGATTTTCTATTTTTTTCCATCAGTAAGAATCTGTGAAAAGTGTGGTCTCTTGGGGCCATTATTGATCAGCTGGTTTATATATTCCCCAACAAAAAGAATGTCTTTTTTTTTTTTTAACTTAACTACCTCTTTTGCTTTCGTAGATCCAGGTCTGCACAGGCAACAATTTTTCCTGCAGCGCCCGTCCAACGTGATGGCCATGGAAGGGAAGGATGCTGTTTTGGAGTGCTGTGTCTCTGGGTACCCCCCTCCCACCTTCACGTGGCTGCGAGGAGAGGAAGTGCTCCCTATCAGGTACCTCACCCCTTTGTGCCTTTCATATCATAACATTTACCTTGAGCAAATTAAAGGCAAAACCGTTAATACTTGAAGTTCAGTGGGGTAGACTTGGAGGCCGTGAAATTTTCTCCTAAATATGAATGACACTGGACCAGGTTTTTTTTACCTGCCCATGTAATTAATCTCCACGCCAAATCTGAGGGTGGAATTCGATCATAAATGTCGCCTGCTACAATGGATTCCTAGGCTGGTATTTAAAATGGAGGTGTAAAGTTATTAACAGCAAAAATCGCAGCGGGGAATTAGTCGCGGAATAATTTACGATGTGTGTTTTGCTGGATAGAGATCCCATCTTAATGCCCTGCAAACATCCAATATTGATATTTCAGGTCCAAAAAGTATTCATTACTGGCTGGCAGTAACTTACTCATATCAAACGTGACCGATGATGATTCAGGGACATACACATGCGTCGTCACCTACAAGAACGAGAACAGCAGCGGCTCTGCGGAACTGTCAGTGATGGGTGAGTCCGTGAACTGCTCCTGCTTTGCTTCTCCAAGAATATTTCTAATTGTTGCCTTTTTCACAATGACTTAATTTCCGTAATTGCAAGTAATTGCAAAAATTGCAAAATTCCTTCTCTACCTTGATCAGGAATTCACACCTATGGAAACCAAATCCTGTAAATCTTTGGATATATCCACTGTGTCCTATAAGCTTGTTGCTGAATATCCTATGGTATTGGATGCTAACTGCTACGGTGTTCTGTAAACGGTCCTTCCTTCTGTTTCTGCTTCCTGAAGCCTTATTTCTCCTATTAAAATGCATGTCACTGATGAGCAAGTGAGAAGTACAATGGGTGAAAATCAGGTCTGCAGCTGCTCACCAAACGTGCCCTCTTTTCCTGCATGGTTCTGCAATATTATTAGGATCAGAGAAACAGGGCTGGTCCTTCAGGGTGTGTGGATGACTGTCAATATACTAAGGTAAGAAAAGTCAATGCATGTTAGAGTATTTCCACTAAAATATCAAAAGTTAAACTTGTGGAAGTCCTCACTCAGCAGCGATGGTCTGAGAGTTCCTGTTGTTAAATTTTATGGAAGCACCCTCCTGACTGAACTGCTTTTTCAGATATCTCAAATCACACATCCCTTCTTCATGGCAAACATTAACGAAATAAGAAACATTTAAATTTGTGAGCTGCCTTTTTTCTATTTTCTTCATTTAAACCCTTGAGCAGTAGCAGAGTACCTCGGTGTTGTTCAGTCAGATCTAAAATATTACGTAGCTAATTCTTAGTCAAACAATAATGTATTTCAATGTGCTCTTCATTTTACATTCAGACTTTAAAGCTTATGCATAAAAATACTTTCATTAGTGAATACTGCCTTAATTTGGATTATAGGATATTCAGTGCTTGTACAACAATATCCTTTTATCTAGCTGTAATAAAATATAATAATTACTGATGATGGAGGGTTCAGTTCTGTTTCTTTGGGTACATTAGCGGAATACATTGTTTTACTGGGTGAAAATAAAAACGTGGATTTATTATTGCAGAAGTTCAACTTGGGAAATTGTTTTCATTATAAGGAATTATACTAAAAAGGCAGGTGACTTCTTGGGCAATGTACTCGTCTAACCGAAAGCTGTCTTACTTCAAATGTAGAGTGCAGTGGGTGACTAAGAGTTGATTGGGAAGTAGAAATTAGATTAATATTTCTCCCCAACAATAGAGGATCAGCATCAATAGTGGTATCTCTTGGTAAGAGCAACTGTGGCTGGATGATCGTTGTGTTGATTCTTGCATAGATTGTTTCTGGCCATGTGATTCACGTAAAAATTAATAGGAAATTTGCACCTAGGTCCTTTGTATACCTGTTGAAAAATTTATTCCTGCCTGCATTTGGTGTGTAATGCATCTAGCTCTACCTACATTATGCCTTTTTCTGTAAGTGTCATGTCGAAATTAAAAGCGCATACATTTTCTTGCACATTCTGAGAGGTATGTGATGGCAATATGACACGACTGGAAGGTTGAATACAAAAATGAAAAACGTTAAAAGGAGGGAACATAATGGCAAGATAGTACTAAGAATGAAACTAGAGCTGCACGAGGATGAAAGATGCCACAATTGCTGACTCTTTACAATCTCAAGAAGAAGCCAAAACTGCATTGCCACGACACAATTCAAGTGTACTCCGTGTTTGTATTATACAAAAGAAGCAGTTGCTATGAGCTGTGTTGATTTTTTTCTCTAAGTTCCTTTTCACATATGTTGCCGAGGAATTTACAAATTCAGAGCAGATCAAAAAGGCACAATATTTATGTGCATTTCTTGTTTTCCTGAGTAAATCATTCATTTGTGACAGGCAGCTGAAAACGAAGCGTCGTGTTCATGTATGTTTGCATTAATAACAGCAACTGTTCAAAGGACTCAAATGTTATTAAGTGGCTAAAACTCAGCAGATGATGATGACAATCCCCTGGTATCTGTTTTTCCAGAGCAATATAGCAGGGCTACAAATCTATTTATTTGTTGAATTCATCCTTACCAGTAGGAAACTCTCAAACGTACCAAGTTTCTCGTGTAATTGTATCTCGTAAACAGCATAACAAATTCATACTTTTATTTCTGTTGTGCTAGATACAAATGGAGATACGTTTCCTTGGAGTTAATACGCTCGTTTAGTTAACAAACTGTAAATCGCTGATCTGCGTTTTGTTGCCAAACTTGCATTTTTTAATATTGATGTAATCCTTTAATTGTTGAAGCGTTTGGAGTGCGAAGAGGGATAAGCAAGACATTTGCAGTGCTTGAAAAAAAGCAAATCAAGTCCCATAATTATCTCTTCTGAAGTCTAGCTGGGTAGACGGCGTCAGATCAAAGTTAGTTACATCACATGGTGGCAAGATGCTTTTGATCTTTGAAGTAATGAGGCTGTTTGCAAGGAATGGAGCGTACTGCACAATGGAATCCCTTTTTTCTTTTCAAAAGCTAAAAATAACTCCTGCGTTGGACGTAGGCCTCACATCGCAAGATGTGAATGAATTTGCAAGGCGAGCTGAGAAATTTTGCTAAATCGTGATTTTGTAGCATGGCAAAATCACGATAAAAATTTGGCAATATTTTAGCCGCGTCGCCCTGCGTACTGAATATTAAAAGGTCTGGTGCAGATTACCTTTTTTAATATATAAATCACCTACATGCTCAGTAGCTTTAGGGAATTTAGAGTTTAGACAAACGTTTGAAGATTAGAACGGGGCTTAACTAAATTCCTTTCTGCGTATTTTCTAACTTTGAGAAGTGCCTTTTTTTTATTTTTACACCCTTTTGTCCTCAGAAGGGGTTTTGATGGCTTTTTCCATGTTTTGTTGAGCAAGACTTGAAAGTCTGCTGTTCTTGGCAGAGAAAAAACCCTACCTCCATGGCCTAAATGTTCTCAAAGTGACATAAATGTAGGAAAAACTTGTCTACAACCTATTTCTACATACTCATCCCACTTTGGTAGTGGGTCCAATGTCTGGGATTTCAGGTCCTGGTGGAGTTTCTGAACTGAATTCTGTAAAAATCATTTTTGTAGATGGTCATAAATTCATATGATGAGATTTGAATGTCTATGAACTTCATTTCTTTTCTTCCTCCTTACTGTTTGGATGGTCCTTTGATTGCATCAACGAGCGAGCTGCTCTTATAGCTGTGCCAGTACGGTAGGGGAAGAGCACAGCATCTACTGAAGGAAAAAAAATGGATCTAGCATGGTGTTTGGAGGAAAAACTATTGCTAAATTTTACTAAGCATCCATATGTATAAGGTATAAGCAACCCAAAAAATACTTCCAAACTGCAGTCATCTATACAAATGCCTTCCACGAGGGAGTTTTTAATATGAAGTGTTTTTAGCACTGGTTTCGTTTCGCCACTGCGGAAGAACAGCTACATCAAAAGTAAGGTTTGCTGCCGCGTGAGAAGTGGCTTATGAAATCACCTCGGTCTTTTTGACAAGAATGAACGATTGTAAGCACTCTGCATCTCAGTCAAATCCGTTTTTTCTTGTTTTACTTTGAGCTCTGCTGCATAAATTCCACCGGCAAAATGGATATTGGGAGATCAAGGTCGTGGGAAGCAGTGAATAAAGCGGGCATGGATCGTGTTCTTGTGTGTGAATCATTTAGGGAGAGAGCAGCATTGAGAAGGAAGCCTGCATCACCATAATGTGGTTTGACAGAGCGGTGAGAGCCTGAAAAATGAGTAACCTCCTCATACTCTGAGTGCAGCTTAAGGTAACGTTGCACAAATGCACGAGTACTGCAAGATTTACAAAACCCGTTAGAGGCTACTGCTAATATTCAGTCAAATCCAGCCCTGTACCCATTGTAAAATAATTTCTGAACTATAGCAGACCACCTGCTATGATAAACTTCAGAGGAGCAGCTGGATCTTCATTGGGTTAGGTGTTGCAGCAACTCTACCAAAGCTGGTGAACCCTAGAAAACTGATTTGGGGCTCTGTTCCTTCGTGACCTGGCACTGTTGAATGGGTTAAACTTGCTCAGGTCTTGCTATCTTGTTGGAGAAATTAAATGCAATATAGACTAATTATTCCTTGGTCTGAGTTAATTTTTATTTCTGGAACAGGACGTATGTATATCTGAGCTGGCACAGTAATCTGTGACAGTCCCATGATGGTTTTTGGCAGGCAAAAATGAGAAATATGAATGTAAAACCCAATCTCTCCCATTCATTTTTATAATTTTAATCCATAAAAAAGTGTAAATCTAAAGCATTGATACTATCCTTTATATTTCTCGCAGGTCTGATTTTGAGTCTGGGGCATGGCAATAGCGGTTATCTGTCCCTACAGCTCCTCTGTCGAGCCAACAAGTCAACCTAAATGTCCAAGGTGGTGTCCTGACACCCTTTTCCAGAAGGCTGATGAAACATATCTTGTTCTCATATGATAAGAAAACATTAGGGGTAGTGTGACCTTAGAATATAAAAATCAAATATTGCAATTTGGCCATGCCGAGGGACTTCTTTTCAGTGGGTTGATGTGGGATAGGCGATCCAAACTCTGGAAATAAGGGATTTATAGGTAGAAATGTAGCCAGCCTTTCTACGGTGAAGGTGCTGGAGGAGATGGATCAATAAAATCAACTCTTTCGGTGTTCACTCCCACTTTACTTAAAGGATTTTTCGAATGTATTATATAATCGATGGCGTTCAGTGGTTTCACGGAGGCAGTAAGATTTTTCCATCCAGGCAAAAAATGAATTTGGACAGGGTTTAGAATGAATTTTACGGATCTGGGGCCAAAACATTTCTATTGGAAATCATTTACCTACTGTTGCGTCGTGCTAATGGGGCGGATGGTATGGTCGTGCAGTACCAATGAGAGAAATTCGAGACCCCGTAACCAGTAAAATAATGTTATGGAGATGTTCTGAGACTGGATCCAGGCTATTAGCTGCTTCATTCAAAGGTTTTGTATGTTCAGGAAAGGAAATATCACAGTACCAGCAG